TATTATGCGAATAGATACGGACATGACTCGGTGAAATCGGAACCTGTTATGATTTGCTAGATGTACAATTTGAATTTTTTTATTGATCACATGGGGATTTGGTAAAAAGAAAAACAAACAAATAAACAACTAAATAAATAGTCAACGATTGAAAAACTCCTTTAATGTACATTGGGAATGCATTATTCATTCATAGACGTTTTTGCGAACGGTTTTTTTTATTTAAAGCCCCTTAAAAATTGAATGAAAACTCCATGAGACTGCAATATGTGCGTAAAATCTTTTGATTCATAAGATTTTCTTGAAAATAGACAAAAATTTCATTTTTTTTCAACATTACTATTCTACGCTGTCAAGAGTCTCGTTTGCCACTTTCAAATGCCACTTTCCTCTCTATTGTGTCAAATCAACTGAATGTGCAAGATGCTTGAACAATAACTATGAGCAACGAATGATCGCCTGGACACTTAGTGCTTCGCATTAGAACAAACGAGCGAGCGAGAGAGTGAGTGAGTACAAGTCATGAACAATTTCGAAGGTCGTATAAGTGTCAAAATAAAATTGGCAATAAAACCAATACCATTTTCGGTTTTTATGTTGTGATTGTACATTCGGGGCGATCATAAATTATGTTGTAGAATTCGTCTTGGGTCACTGAATCTACTGTTTTTATTGCAGTGCCTTTTGCTTGTTTGCCAATTAGATTTTACAATCAGAAAACTGACAGCATTCATTATGTTTAGTTTATTAATTTATTCGATGGATGATGTTGTATTTGCGTGCGCCTAAATGCTTTTTCTAGTTAATTACCCTTTAGCGTTTTTTTCTCGATTGTAAAATTTACGACTTGACGCAATTTCGGGTCAACCGAAGATTCATTTCCATTAGATAGGAATTGTTCTTTCGAAAACGAACACGAAGAGAAAAAAAAGTTTATCAGCAATAAATAAATCATTTTTCCAATCAGGAGCAGACGCAAGAAAACACATATAAAGAGAATGAAGAAAAAGAAGACGAAAAAAAGTTACAAAATCCAATCAAAATGAATGCGGTCAACCCGAGTCATCTTCCTCAAAACTTATCTATCTCTTACCGTTATTATGTAAGTTTGAATTTATTGGATTGTTTCCATTGTTTCCTTGCTGCGTTTAAATGTGCTTTATATCGGACCGAATGGCAAAATGTAAAAGACAGTACTTTGCTGCATTCAACGAATTTATTCGCTGAAAAAAAGTGCGCTGGCAGCACAGTTGCTGCGCATTTTTTTTATTCCTTACGAAAAACAGAAAAAATCCAACAAATGTTGTAGACACATTAGGATCACATAAATAAAATTGAATCTGAGACACTCCCTACCATTTACCTCTCCAAAACGAACGGAAAAAAGAGTCCGGACCAAAGAAAAAAAAAGCACAATCATCGACGATGTGTAGCCAAGGAATGAGTGTTTTCGTTTTGTGCGCACAAACAATGTATATATTTTAGCTGTTGTATGGTTCAGGTCTTTGGCTCTGTTTTATTCGACAATGTAATTGTAATATTTATTACAAGGCTCATATATTCTGATAAAGAAAGTAGAAAATATGGCGCAATCGTAGCGAAATGGAACGGTGTTGCGTTTTTTTCTCTCTCGCTTCTTGTGTATCGCGTTTATCTCACGCGCCCGCTTCACTTTAAATCCGAACGAAAATTATAACTTTAATTAGTGTTTCCTTTGTGTACGCAGACATTTTTTTTTCTATCTATCTCTCATTCAACCTCTCTCACACCCTTCTTCACTTTGTGTCGCTATCTTTACCTTCTCTATGCCAACACTTGTTTATTCGCGCGCGTATTCGGATGTCCTCTGTCCTATGTTGCATCATACACAAATAGATTGGTATCGTTTTCATTGAGCGAACACAGTAAAATTGGGTGTTTTGTTTGTGCAAAACCCCAGAAAAGTGTCTGTCTCACTGTGCGTTTTACAATATACGGTACAAAATACAGGAAACCATTGGGTGCTACCCTCTCTGTCCCACATATTTTCAAACAATATACAGACAGGCGTTTCGTTGTATTCTGCATTTCTCGCTCGTAAAAAACATTCATCCAAATTATTTTTACGCTTATCTCTTTCTCATTCGGTTTCCATTTGCCACGGCAAAAATGCCACACATAACAAATGGTTATTGCAGAGTTTTGTAATTGTATTGTATTCCGCCAAAGCACTTGCATATTGATAATAACTTCATCCATAGATTCCATTTAAATGAGATTCACACTGGCAGTACCGCAACAGCAGCAACAACAGCAGAAAAAAAAAACTAATTTAAAGTTAATGAGTATACAAATTCAAGCCATTAGATATTACGTTGTAATTTACGCTTTAACTCGCATTCTTTCCCGCTCGTGCGCCCAATTACAAGAGAGAGTAAAAACAGAGGCGAAAAAAATTACACCAACAATACCAATATACATTCCTGGCCACGTTTTTTTTTCGTCGAAAAAGGCAAACCAACTGATAAAAACTTTGGAATACATTTTTCAACATCCTTAACGGTAAAATGAGATTTGCGCAATGGATAAAAACATTGAATATTTAATACGTTTAATTTCGATGGCGGAATAGAATCAAAGTTTTTCTCAGGTAAATTCAATGATGCTTTGAAGGCTCGGTGTAATTGCGCAGCAAATATTTTGAACAATTTTTTTTGGACTAAAATCAGTTGTCGGATACTAGCAGCAATAACTTTCATAGGCCTTTTATATACCACATATAATCATTTCAAGCCTTTCATTTCCATCGACCTCAAAATGAAATTTCAACAAAAAAAAATATTCAAGCTGAAAATAAGTAGAAATTTGTTTGAAAAATGTATCATTCGTCACTTACATTTGTTGTTCATTGAATTTTCGCGCCTCATCTGTTCAAAATCTTTTGTCGATTTTTTCGGCATCAAAACCGCTTTGAATATATGAAAAGAAATTTTTAACATATGCAATGATCCAATAAATTTACAATTTCAAATTTTCCGGAGAAAATAAAAATCAATTTTCCCGGTAGCGTCAATGAAATGGATGAAAACCAAATGACTCGACCATGAGTCGCCTTAACATAAGCAAAAACATTCATATGAATGTGCTTTTCCATCGATTTAATACAAAGTCGCCGAAAAGTGTCAGTATGTTATTCACAAGAAATTTCGGGCATTGGTTTTTATCGATCATATCGTCAGCGAAGAAATCGGGGGCAAAAGGAAAACTCAAATAAAAAGAAAACAACGAATGGTTTTTTGTTTTGTCTTTCTCTAAATTTATTTCATTAATATAGAAACACTACGGCAATGCAATTGTTTGTTTTTTTGAGTATTCGCGCGTTTACACTATTTACGCTAGATTATTGTTTTTTTTTTTGTTTTAAATTTATTTAATGTTTACGTGTACACTTGAAAAATATTATATGGCCTTTTTTGATGTTTTACAATAACCCTTAATTAGTTCATTCATGTTTTTTTTTCATCTTTTAAATTAGTTGTAATTTTTTGTGATTCTAAATATTCATTTTATTTCTGTGTTCACTAAAATTGTTCATTACATACAAGTACATAATATGATAAGATGTAGAGAAAATAAATTATATTTTGTTTTGTTTGTTTCATTAATTACAATTCAGCTGCTTGTTTTGTTGAAATATTCGTGCGTGTTTTTTTACAATTCCACTTACAGCGATTTAAATTTTTGTGTAAAATTTTATCCATTTTCATAAAAAGAGACAAGAGATTTAAATTTGAATTGAAAATGCGAGCATTTTATTTTTATTTTTTTAATGACTAAAACGTCGATTGCCAATCAGATATCTCTCTCAGTTTTATGCTGTGTATTTGTGTCGGTCTGCAGCAAGACGGACGAAAATCGTGTGCATCAATTGTGAGGGGATACTGCAAAATGAAATCGCTTGGAATCGATGAAAATGGAGAAAGTTTCATCCTTTGCATAAGAGGAAAAGAACAACAACAAATAGTTTCCACTCTCGTTCTCTCTATCATGCAATTTTTGATGTTGTCGCTTTGAATTTTCTCCATTCCACGGTCATTCGACATCAATTTTTCTATATATGTTTCACTTCTCTGTGTTTATTCTCATTGTACAAATTTCGATTCTTACAAGTTGGATTTCTTATATAAAGTTAAAGAGGAAGGAATACAAAATGGTTTTTGATATCATTTTTTTTTTCTTTTTGTATTAAAAACCGAAAAAAAGAGAAAAAACAATTACGTATGTTGAGGATTTTGCATTTTGAACGACAGTCTCAATTCATTTCCTTTTCGTTTTCTCCACATATCTGCAACTTTTCGTTGGCCAATACTAAATCAACCTGAGAGCACACATCTATGATTTTTTTTTCAGATATTCTACATCAATAAGATTATAATAAAATAGAAGAGAAAGAAGGTTTCGAACAACAACAAAAAAAATAATCACAATAGCCAAACAAACGTTTTCTATTCCGGTGAGCATCCAACGATGCGAAAATGAAACAAAACTTCAACTTATAAAAATGACTACGATAATTTATTTTCATTTGGGATCTTGCAAACTAAAGAATAACAAAATGAGTTATTTAAAAAAAAAAAAAAACAAATTACAAAGTTTAAACGAAACAATGGATGTTAATCGATTAAATTCTTTTTTTTAAAGTCGAACTTATTCAAAAGGAAAACACATTATATCGACAGAAATGGAAATAAAAAAACGACGTTGCTAAATTACACTAGAAATCGGTTTTGTAACGTAATCGGTTTTGTTTTTGGGCGCAATAGTTGAATAGTCGTTTCTTCATTTAGAAGATTATATCTTGCAAAATGAACGAGAACGAGAAAGCTGAACAAAATGAGAAAGAAAAAAAATTGTCAATCGAAGACTCGATGGTTATCCCACACATCGATTTGATTTCATTGTTTTAAACAAAAAATAATAATAATAATATTGAAATGACGAAACGAAAAACGTTCACAAAATTGAGTCATTGTTTTTTATTGGGGGGTTCACAATTTTGTCAAGTTGTTAAAAATTACAACTTGAGCGTCCATAAAATTTCCGATTGGTTTTACGATCTCTTTTTATTTTGTTGAAATGTATGCTTTTATTGCGTTTTTTTTCTCTCTTCTAAAACTAGATGCACCCTTATTGATCGGTCTCTCTCGGGGTTTCTCTCAAACTCTCCTTTTCTCTCTTTCTATCTATCTATCTATTCATCTCTCTCGCTATAGAGATACATAGTGTACTTCAAACATCGGCTTGCCTTAAACAATCTATAATAAAACAATGAAATGTTTGTTGTGTGTGTGTTGCAAGTTTAAGAAGTTTTTTTTTCAATATCTTAATCATTATGTATGAAGGTAATTTATCATGTAAATAGTTATAATGTAAGTAGATATTTTTTTTTGTTTAATATTCTTAATAGCTTGTTTAATAATATTTTGTGTGTGTGTGTTTTTTGTTTACGTTTACGTTTAATATTGGTTGTTCTAAACTAAGGTTTTATCCACTGGATTTTGCTGTTTGCTGTTTCTTTTTTTCTTCAAAAGTTGTTATTTCTTTCAAACGTTCCATCTTACATAACTAGTACGTATTTATGAGTTTTTAAAGAGGGAAACATTCAATCGATACAAATCCAAGCAAAAACTTGCCGATGACATGCCAAAAACATTTCTCGCTATATGTATATGTGAAATGTGCACTCTTCGGTCAAGTGTTTTGTATCGATTCAGTGTTTGGGGCGCATTTCTTACGTGTGTTTGTTTTTGTGTTTTGTGTGCAATATATGGTTCACATGGTTTATACGGATGCATGTAAATAGATTGTGCTCATTCCTTTCTTCTCAATCATGAAACGACATTTATTTTGCATTACGTTTTTTTTGTCAGTTGTCAGGAGGGAGCCAAAATGAAGTTTATATATATATACTATATTGTGTTTGTGTATATATATAAATTTAATTTTTTTTTATTTTTAAATATCGTTAAAATTGTATGTAAATATAATTATGTATATGGCAAATATGAACGCTTTCATTTTTTTAAATTTTGTTTCCATTAAATTGTTGCTTAAACTTTTTAGCATTTTTATTGTTATGTTATTACGTATGTGAATGAAATGGATGCTGTGTGTGATCTGTGAAAATACATGTTTCTTTTTCATGATTTTTCTTTTGTGTGTGTGAGTACAAGTAAATGGCTTTTGTCATTCCATGCTTCTTTCTGCGATTTTTTTTTTTCGGTTAATACTTTTTTTTGTGTCTCTACATAATGAGTTATAAATTTTTTGTGTTTATATCGCGTTTGTTCTGGAGGGATGTAGTGAAATCGATATTGTTTGACTATGGCTAAATTTGAATGTGTTTTTTTGTCAAAGAAAAATTGAGCGTGAATGTTTTAATCAGGGATTGTTCCTCTGAGAAGGAGGAGGAACGCCGATGAGGAAAATGTGGAGAAGGTGAGCACTGAGGAGGAAAATGATTTATAAGCAAAAAAGATATTTTTGTGATAAAAATTGCTTTTTTGACCAAAAAAAAACTTCTCCCTCAGTGCTCTCCTCCTCTTAATTTTCCTCCTCACCATTCCTTCTAATCAAAGAAACAATCCCTAGCTTCAATCGATAAACAGAAAAATAGTTCCCTTTTGACACTTATTTTCGAAACGAAATAAAACTATATACATAGAGATTTTGCATAAACGAGATCAAACTTTTCAAGCTTAAATCAATTTAATGCCGGAAGAGTTTTTTTTGGATGTATTTTAATTATTGAAAAAAAAATGCATTCAATGAACCGAAAAATTTGATTTTTTTTTGTTGTGGAATTTAGTTTTGATTTAGTTTAGTCGAAATAACAATCGATCAATAACATGATTTAACGCGTATAGAAAAATGTGTGACGCATCCAAAAAATAACGACGCTTTAAACATTTTCCGGAAATTCGGTTGTTGAGGCTAGAAAGAATTTTCAGAAGTCATGACTTGAATTTATGCCCACAAAGTGATCTTCGTGCGTTGTAATTTTAACTGTTTTTTTGTTTTCTGCACAAATGGATACTTTTTTTTAAATATATTTTTATCACTCAAATTTATTTGCTTGATTACGTATGCGCTTTTTCAAAACCAAAGTGGGAAGAAGAAATCTAAAGACGTGCAGTAATGTCGTCAATCCATTGAATGGTTTTGGCATCGTATACTTTCCAACTATGCTTCGTTTTCATCTCAAGTATTCGAAATGAATTGCTCCCTTATGTCAAACTAAAAAAACACATGTGTTTCAATCCATTAACGCATCTTTTCTTTAAAATACAATCACAACAAAAACATACGTTTTACATAGAAAAAAAGATAATCATAATTTTCATGCCAACTTAAATGCGAAATGAAAAAAAAAATTAACGAAGCCTTAAGCACTATTTTATGTCACTGGGAGCATTTATCTGTGTGTTTGTATCAAACAAATCGATTTCGTAAACTACGTTTCGTTCAAAAATTGGAAAACAAATCGATGCAAAACTTTTTTTAATGCGACTTTAACGCCTTTTTTCCTTGATGTTGTTGTTGTTTGATTGATGAAGATGTTTTGTGGGCTTGACTCTTACTACTAGCTGGATTTTTGTTTAATTTTACTTTCTTTTTGCATTACATAGTACTTTAGTTGTTTAGTTTTAGGTTTTGTTTTGAACTTATACAATTATACACTAAGGTTACATTTATTTTTTGTTTGTTACGTATAAAGAATTATGAGATTCTTCTGTTTTTTCCATTCTTTTCTCCTGTTTGTTTTTCGCCGTTTTGCTTTTCTCTTTTATATTTTCACCTTCTTTCTTTCTCTCTCTCTCTCATTGTTTTTTTTTCTTTTATTCTTTTCCGCACACACTCCGCGTCTTCCATTTGTATATTTATATTCAAATGACATATTTGCTCCGTGGGTTGAGAATAGTTGTAGTAAATGGTATATTACGACTAATAACCAATTTGTTTAATGGTTATATTGGCATTTAGAGCAATTAGAAGTGCGTGTTTTATGTGGTTTTTGGTCGTATCAATATGAAATTCTAGCGCAAAATTTGCATTCATTCCGACGATTGACTTTGACCACGACGAATCTACAATATCAGTGAAATATATCGATGCGATAAAATAATATTGGAATTTATGATAAATATGTTGACGACGCTCCTAAATGCCAAAAAAAAGAGAGAAAGAGAAAAAAATAGCAAACATAAGATAAATAACGAAAAACTCAAAAAAGATCGATTTTTTTTTTGTAAAGAAAAGAAAAAAAGGTGGGAAGAAGGTAAGGAAATCGAAGCGAGAGAAACAACCGAAAAAAAATTGAGAAAAAACAATCGAAAAACAGAAAAAACACACAAACAATGTATAGTATATATTTTTTATATATATATAGTATGTATAGAATATTTTTTGTCACTTTATGTTGTTGTGTTGCTTGGGTTTTATTTTGCGTTTCGAAAGAATGCACTTTTAAACATTTTTTCATTGCGTTTCGGCTATTAGAAGAGGGGATTTTTCGCATAAAACTGTCCACTTTTCACATCAAATGTAGCGTTGTAGCGAGTGAGTGCGATGGTTATCATGAATTCAATGTTTATTTACTCAATAGAAGTTAACTGGCTGTTTATGTGTTTTGGTGTGGTTTCGTGGTTTTTATATGTGTTTGTGTGTGTGTGTATGTTGAAAAGGGTTCGTGTGGGCGAATAAATTGTGAAAATTGCGGAAATTTACGAATTAATTTTACTGACTGATTTTAATAAATCTTGATTCGGTTTATCGAAACCGGTCATCATACCTAGATTGCTGCCAATTCCACCGACACCGCTCATGCTCAAGCCAAGTTTTAAATCATTCTGTACAACAGAATGATGGAGATGACCGCTCGAGTTTTGGTTCACAATGTGTGAATGTTGATCATGATGATGCGATTGCTTGTTGCTGTTGTGCTGCTGTTGGGCGGACTTGATTTCTTGATTCTTTATTTTTTCTTGCTCCTCGCGATCGCGACGTGCCTGTATTTACACAAAAATTTACCATATGAAATAAATTTTAAAAAAATGGTTGAACACAAACAAATACATAAATATAGTTTCAAATGCATGTCACGAGAAAGACTGAATTTTACTGTAAACAACATTGAATGCAAGTGTCACGAAATGACCACTGTTTCTTTTATTTTAAAAATCGTTTTGACTATAATTAGATTAATGTTTATCGTAAAATCGCAATCAAACTCACCTGTTCGTTTATTTCTTTAACGGCCCGGAGTTCTTTCTTCAATTTCATTCGTCGATTCTGGAACCAAATTTTAATTTGACGTTCGGTTAAGCACAATGCATGAGCAATTTCAATTCGTCGCCTTCGTGTCAAATAGTGATTAAAATGGAACTCTTTTTCCAGTTCGAGCGTCTGGAAGCGTGTGTATGTTTGTCGACCTCGTCTTCTCGGGCATCCGTTTGGTGCTGTTTTGTTTCAAACGACGGGTTTGAAAAAGAGGGAAAAAGAAAAAATAAAGCATCAGAGAAAATTCATTGTCAAACGTTAAATATTTCAACGAAAACCATTTTGGTAAATTATCTTCACGCAAGCACATCTTGTTTATTACCCACGACGACAGTTTTGTGTAACTCTTTTCATTCAACACAAACGAAATTGCTGAAAACGAGTCCTTCGAATTTCATTCTTCAAGAAAATAAATACATGCGAAGGCGAAAAAAAACATTAATTCTATGCACAATGTAGTTTTTTCTGACGCAACGTACAAGGTCGCCTTCACAGGACGGCCAAATATTCGCAACAAGGATCAAACGGTTTACACAATTTGGCAAAAGGGTTTATGGCCAAACCAAATGTTTCGTTTCACATTATGTACATCCCGGCATGAAGAATAATCAAAAATTCTCAGAAACTTTGACAAATTGTCTAATTTTCATTTAACCATTTTCTTTTTTTGTTTCTTATCACCCAAGACACAAAGTGCCTCTGACAGAGAGAAAAAAATGCATTCTTTATCAATGTGTGTTGCACTACCGAGAGAGAGAGAGAGAGAGAGAGAGAGAGAGAGAGCATGAAAGAAAGTTGATAAGCTCAGTTATCGTTTCATTTGTCACTGTTTATGACTGTGTTACGACCATGTCTCATTTTGACGACAATTTATGTGCGCAATAATAATAAACGCATTTATAAAACCCGAAAAAAAAAACAAACAGAGACGCAAGAACTTAAGCAACACTGAAAGAGAAAGGAAAGTAGGAACAAATGAGCTGAGTGTCCATAAAGATGAAAATAAAAAATGCAATATTCGATATATGTACATTTTCGTTGTGCGTTTGGTATGTATTTCCATTTCACTCACTGCCGTTGCTTTTAAATGACTTTATGATCGGTGTTACGTGTTTTTATTTTTTGTCTTCTTCTTCTTCATTCTCCTTCTGGCCTTTCCTCACTTGCAAATTATTTGTTTATATAACTGTTCTGTAGTAGAGTCGTGCGATCACACAATATATACGGTGGTTGTAAATGCTCTTTTTACGTACATATTTTGTTTCTCTCTCTCTCCGAAAGTTTTTTTGTACACCATTTACAGATTTCCGTGTAGGAACATTACTAAAACTAGAAAGCAATGAGCAATTGAGTGCAGCAAATGCACACAAAAAATCCCAGCAAAAAGTGACTAAGAAAAATTAACCGAAAAAAGATAAAAAGAAAAAACGTGTATCGGATCCGTTCAGTTTGTGGTTAATTTTTTTGCTCTTTGAATAACAGTATACGTGCAAAGAAATTGCAATATGATCGTGTTTGCTGCCATGAGTTAATCGGCTGTACGGTGTAATTAAGTTATACTTATATCTTACGGATTATCCATAAACGTATGCCGTTGACGATCTTGATGATGGCGACAAGCAATCCAATGGCCTATTTTATTCCAACTGACTTATAACGAAATGTGATAATTGTGGAAAAAAAATGCAAGATCACAATAAATTGATGCATAATTTCTCGTTTATTTTGCGATACGAACGCACAAGAGGCGTTGAGAAAAATGTCATATTTTTGTTTTTTTCTTCAATGCTGACGCAAAGAAGAAGAAAAAAACAACGGTTTGGCGTTAAATGCAGAATCAATTTTTTTAAAGTAAATTCTCATGTTGATTTCGTTTTGTAAACTCTGTTTCAAGATTTTTATTTTTCGGTAAACAATTACGCTTGAATAATGATTACAGATATGGGCTTCGTCCAATTAAAAATGAAGTTTTTTATACTTTGTTAAATTCATTCTTAATGAAAATATTGTGTTACATCGCATTTACCGTTTAAGTGATGATTGTGTCGTTTATTCTTTTTAATTCAAGTCTGTAAATCAGCCTATTCAATTTCGTTTCATTTAAAATGGGTTTCACTCAATAAACGTTATAGTTAGATGAATATACATTTTGTTTATTTTTGAATAAAGAAATATAAATTAATTTGAATTCAATTTAATGGGATGCGACGAATCCAATCAAAAATGGAAGAATGTTGTTTTCAAAATGCATCATGCCGAGGCGATGTCTGCTCTCCCGAATCATTCGAATATAATTTCAATAAATTAAACGTAAATCAATATTCGCCATTAACTTTCGTTGAGATCTCATTAATGCGTGAATCTTCTGGGTGACGAAAGTTCGAAGAGCGATCAACGCATACTGATTTAACAAACGACAAACTAATTTTTAGTTCGATAAAAAAAATTGATCATGGAATTTATTTAAGTGCCAATCAGAAATTGAAATTGAGCTCGGATAATTTGAACGATATGCTTCATGTAGTTTTCCGCATTTGTTAAGTATGACATAAAAATGCATATTGGCTACAAAGAAGATGAAGAAAAAAAAAACTACACAAAAATACCCGCTCTAATGAAATAGTGAAATGAGATCGAGGTTAATAAAATTGCGAGACGATTTGCACTCGCGGCGCACGCGAACACACTGAGGATAATGATGCCGTTTTATGCACAATGCCATTTTAACGTACACATTAAAGCATTCGTTGAATATATGCGATAACATCTCACATTATGACCGACTTTTATTGATATGTTTATACATTCGTTTATTAGATTTTCAGTTCTAGATTCTTGATGTGCGCCGATTGCGAAAATGCAAAAACAAGCGCAAGCTATCGCATTTGCGGTGACCATAAGAAAAATGAAAATGCCAATCCTCGACCAATAAACTTGGTGTGTGCGTTGTTGTTGTTTTTATACATATGCAGTGATTTTGCACAATTTTGTTCAAGTTTACATTTTTCTTTGTTGCAAAAGATTTAAAAGTCGAGTTTTACATTTTGAAACAATTTTAACCACATAAAACCAGCTACTGCAGAACAGTTTGAAGATTGGCATTTTTTAAACGATAAAAAAAACCCCATTCAATGCAGAACCAAACGGATTTTGTCATAAAATTTTAATTTTTCTCAAATGAAAAAAAAGAAGAAGGAAAAACCGAATTATGGGCGTTTAACATTTTACAATGTTGTGAAATAGAAAAAAATGGACTCATTAAATAAATAAACTTAAACTGAATGTGCGAAAAGAGAGCAAAGGAAAGGTGTAAAGCAGGGGAGGGGCTAATTTTTCCCTTTTTTATGGACAACCATTTAACAAAGCATAATGGTTTATTTGTATTTTGTACACAAAAAATCACACCATTATTTTCTAATCAAATTTGACTTTAAATTTGTGTAAGCCGATAACAGCGACCCTTATTTTTTTTCATACAGGTTCAAAATCACCGAATAGACACATTGGATTTGCATTGGAAATGTGGATGAGCGCGCATAACAGAGATGGATGTATTGAATGAGTTGCCTAGCAACAGGAATGCATACGCTGCCATGTATGCACACGCACACAGTCTCACAGTTCGGAATGTACTGTGATTGAACCGAAGCCATCATGGACTCGATATGCGTGTATGTATGTGTGTTGAACAGAATGGTCGGTTCATCGAACAGTGCAGAACAAAGGAAGACAAAAAAAAATTCAACACACTGTATGTATATGGCAAACGCCCAGCCATAATCGTGTCTGAATTATGGCATCTAATGCGGACAATTAAATTGTGTGTATCTCTGTGTATTTCTCGTTTTGGAACGGCACACACACGCACAAATGTAGAATCTTTTTCAATCGTCTATTTTACGGCCAATTTTATTTGAGCAATTCCGTTTTATTTCATTTGAAAATGTTATGTCGTGTTTGGAATTGTGAAATTAATTTGTTTGAGCACTTGTTGTCAAGGCAAAGGCTTATTTTTTAAAGCAGATGAAAAAAAAGAGTTCGGTAAAACAAGCAAATGATTTACATCACATTCCATGTGGGATGGATCTACGGAAACGTCAATGTGCATCTGTTCAATGTTACGAGTGACGATTTTGTTTGTTTGGTTTTTTTTCTTCTCCATGACTGACACCCGAACCGATATTTATGTTGTACACAAGGGACATGGAACAATTTGATTCATATCAATCGACAATTACACATTTTTGGAAGTATTCGACTGGTGAACCGTCTAAAAAAACGCCAAAGATTGATGTATTTATATAAAGCGATCTAAAATTGTGTCTAAACATACACATTCCGTTTCGAGTAAAACAAAATCTATGTGTAAACAATTGCGCAAGTTTAAATATATGAGGCGATAAGCTGTGGCTTGCATTTGGCATCCGATCTTTTTTTTCTTCTTCTTTATTTTACTACAGTTTAATCCAGAACGAATCATGCCACTTGAAGAAAAAAAAAAAAGGAAAGAATGTTCGATGCGTGCGTGTTTAAGATTATCACCATTGGCGCAGATTAATAAGAATCACCCTTCGATCCATTCCATCAATTACGACATCACAATTGTCAAGAGAATCGAACAGACAATATGCGAATGAAACGCAAAGTGCTCGATATAATAATTGCGTTTTTGCATATCTTTTTTATGTTTTGTGTACACAATTTGTATGAAGTATAAATTGATATGCCACGCACAGTGTAATCGTCAACAACCGTATGTACACACAGAAATCGTTACGGGTTATTTAGGCGTGAGCCTAATCACTCAATGCCAGGACTATTTTCTATTAAAAGCAAACTCATAGTTTTTTCCCACTCTATTTGCTTCTCTCTAAGTCACTCACTCACTAACTCTCATTTTCTCTATAGGTTATGTCTTTACGGTCATCAGTTTTATGGCATTTTCATTAATTATATTTTATGGATACAAAAGAAGTACTTGCTCAGCGTATCTCTTTGATTGCGATTGTGTGGAAAGTCGGTTACACATTGAAAAATGGTGGTGACGATGCCTAATTCAAATGGAAGTTGGCCACATTAAGTACAAACGAACGAGCTATTCTTATAAATGTAATCTTATCGAATGCAGCATTTGTAACTAATTGCGGTTCACTCACACTCTTACAGTGTACACTCTTCG